AGTCCTTTTTCCAGATAATGATTAACAGAATCACGCCCGCAGGCCTGTTCGGAAATACATGACATGGTTTTGGCTCTACTTTTTGGTTTTCTGTGCCTGTTAGACAAAAAAGAACTGTGATAACAATTTTCAGAAGTATTCTTGCATAGCCCTTAACTGGCTCGATAAAATGATGAGGTTTTCAATTTTCTTTTAATGTTGTAAGTCAGCATGACATCCTTCACACTTTACCAGACAACATCTCTTCTGCTTATTGACAAAGTAGCACTCTCTTATTGAAGTTAAACACATCTGCTGTTCTGAGAGGAATGCAGTAACAGTTGCAGGACTTTACTTTTGAAAGAAATTGTTTTCCTCTGTGTTGTAGTTCTCATGAGAATGAAGAGAAGCTAACAAGTTAGTCTTTATTATAAAGTGTTTGCTATACTGTTTTCCGGGAGAAAAAAAATTCTGACTTAAATGTTCATGGAAACAGTCCTCATATATGTCTACAGAGATTTTCATAATATGAGCAGCTACTGAGCACATGACCATTTTATGCATCCAGAAGATGCTGAGAAGCTATCAATTTTGTGTATTGACATCTTGTCAACCTACGCAGTTTCATGTTTTCTGCTTCTTGCACGGATCTGATTAATCTGATACTGCTGAGATAACTTCACATGCACAGTAACTGCTGTTACAGAACAAACTGAGTATCTCTGTACATGTTGAAGTGATTCATTCAATGCAAGCACAGCTTTATATAAATCATTCTATGACCAGCAGAATAATGAAACGTGATTCTATGCTGATTTGTACCCCGAGTTTTTAGAGCACCAGATAGCCTTTTCACCGCCCGGTGTTCCCTATGTCCTCATGCCCCTGCAATACCTGCTGCTCACAACATTCTCTCCATTCTCCCTCTGCTTTCCACAACATCATCGTTCCTCTTCTGTGTCACTGAACTACTGGCTGAGCAAGAGGCATCATGCCTAGCTCCAAGCTAGGTGCTGACTTGCCAGCTGGCATGCTTATGCTGTTAACTATACAGCTCATATTACTGCCTTTCTCTCACTGAGGGCACAGGTTTGAATCTTTCTCTTTATTTACCTAGCCACCGTTTCCTGTTTGTTAGCTTGTTTAACCATACTTGGAGGTGGTTAGTATCTCTATCCTGGTGTCAGATGTGGTTGAAATGGGCCCAAAGTTCAAAAACAATTAGAAGCAAGAATTGGTAGATGAATGGACAGAACTAAAAGACAGTGTGACTGCTGCTGTCCATCACCATATGTTGTTGGCTGGTTGAGACTGAGCAGGATGTATGGATTCGAGAAGCTTTTTACACTTCAGTACACCTGCATATCTTCTGTGAGTTAAACATATACCACTGACATTAGATTACTGAGACTCAGACTAAATGAAATTTAAAATAATTTTGCTTAAGATATGCATATTGCATTTCCATTTAGCTAAAATAAATTGTATATGTTCAATTCAGCTGTAATTAAAATAGAAGAGAGAATGTTACAGCTCTTGAAATCACACTCCACACTGGCTGTTTTGGTTAGCATATCAGCTTCCTTTGCAGAACAGATAACACCTCCTTCTACCAGTGTCCCGTGGCTGGCCAGTTTGATTTAGAATCACTTTTAATACTTTTCAATCATTTTTCTTGTTATCTACATGCATACTTGGGGCATACTTTCTCTAAATGATGGTTATAAAAGTAAAAAGATTTGTGATTAATAGCTATCCATCAAAGGATTGACAACCAATCTTATACCTTCTTTCATAGACTTGTCCATGTCTCTGTTATCCAGACAGCTTTTTTATCACCATTTCAAATGGGCAAATTTCCATTTTCCTTAATTCTTTTCTTTCACTCAGTTTCCCTTGTTATTAATTAGGGAAAGAGGTCCAAATCATCTATCATATTTCTGATTGTCTGAATTTGTTGAAGCAGATAATTATCAGTCACGAGAGGAAATTGCATACATCCTCGGAAATACTTGAAATCTATTTTTTTGTGCCAATGTGGTTTACGGTTGCATTGCTACGAACCTCAAAACATACCTTGAAAACCAGCCCTATTTACTTCTATCTTTTATTTCTTCTTGTAGTGCTATAAGAGATATGGAGAGTGAGAGAAGAGTTCACTAATTTTTTTCTTTTAATATTGTTTTGAATATATCAGATATTGCAGTTGTTAGCCTGCTTGTAATTATGCAGATTGCTTTTATCCCCTCTCTTTTAAGCAGAAACTGTTTTGTATTTTCTAGTCATATGGCACAATCCCCAGCTTTGTAGCTTTACTAAGAAGCAGTTTTACGTAACAGCTTTTTTGTAATTCAGTCACAGAAGTTATCTGATCCCCATCCAAATGTAGTGCATTGATCCTTAATTTTATTTCTGCCTCCTTTTCCATACCGTATTCTCATTAGTCAGAAGTCTCAAACTTATTGTTCTCAATCAAAGGACAGACTTTGGACCCTACTTAGATTGGTTTTAATCTGTTTAAACCTCTTTTGTAGTTTAGACAAATCCCTTATTTTACTTCTCTTTCTGTAGTTCATCGGAAAAAAAGCTACTGTTGTTTTAATTTTCTTTGCAAACACTGACTCAACCTTTTGGTAGTTCATATTTTGTCTCTGTATCTCCTGACTGGGAAGATGCAGATAAGTTTGATGAACAGTCCTTTCTGCCAACTCAGCTTCTTTGAGTTCTCAGTATTAGATCTTTGTCCTAACCACTCTATAGTCACCAAAAGGATTTGGCAAATAGTGTCTTCTGGTGACAACAGATACTTGTTCTGCACCAAACAAAGCCCTAAGCATCAGATAAACAAATCCATTCAAGTACAATAAGCAAGGGCTTTCTCCTTCTGAAGTGGGGACAAGATCTGCATTACTTCTGCCTAATCATATCTTCTCAGAGAAACCCATGGCTATGTAAAGCATCTGGAAGAAAAACAAAAAAAAGCATGTGCTTGATATGCAAGCAGACAACTCTAGAGTATAATAACAATAGGAGAATTTTATGCTAGTGCCACTGCATTCTGTAATGTAGATATAACAAGCTGGTTTAGTTTTCTATTCATTGAAGTAAAAATTCATAGAACATAGAACAGCCTAGGTTGGAAGGAACCTCGAAAGATCATCTGGTCCAACCTCTTGTGGGAAAGGGAGCCTAGATGAGACTATCTAGCACCCTGTCCAGTCACATCTTAAAAACCTCTAGTGGTGAGGACTCCATGTCCCTGGGGTGGTTGTTCCAGTGAATGATCGTTCTTACTGTAAAAAATTTATTTCTTACATTGTGAGGAAAGCTCTTCTGGTGCAACTTGTACCCATTTCCCCTTGTCCTCTCCATGTGGCTCCTTGTGAAAAGAGAGCCTCTGTCCTCTTTGTATCTGCCCTTTAAGTACTGGAAAACTGTGATGAGGTCTCCCCTGAGCCTTCTCTTCTCCAGGGAGAAAAGACCTAACTTCTTCAGTCTTCCCTTATAGATCAGGTTCTCCAGCCATTTGATCATCTTCATGGCCCTCTCTTCAACCTTCTCCAGTCTGTCCACATCTTTCTTGAATTGTGGGGACCAGAACTGGACACAATACTCCAGGTGCAGCCTGACAAGTGCTGAGTGGGATGGTCATGTCTATCTCTGCTGGTAATGCCCCCAATTTGCTTTCGTTGCGGGAGCAGTGCACTGCTAATTCATGATCATCTTGTCCTCCAGGACCCCCAGGTCCCTTTCAGCAAGGTGCTTCCCCAGTCACACAGATCCTAGCCTGTACTGGGCTCTTTGGTTATGTCATTCTAGGTGCAGGACCTTGCACTTGTCTTTGTTAAACTTCATACTCTTCCAGCCTGTCCAGGTCTCTCTGTAGGATGGCTCTCCCTTCTGACATGTCCATCTCACTACTCAGTGTCATCAGCAAACTTGGTAAGGGTGATTTCAATCCCATCATCCAGGTAATTTATGAAGATGTTGAACAGTGTGAGGCCCGGTATCAATCCCTGATTTCTTAAAAAAACATTCATATAGCAAAATCTAATAATTTCCAACATTGGAAAAAACACTGATCACCACCCTCTGAGTGTGACCTGTTAGCCAATTTCCTACCCAATTCACAGACTACCCAACCAGCCTGTAACTTGCCAGTTTGTCTAGGAGGAAGCTGTGGGAAACTGTCAAATGCTTTGCTGAAGATAGGTGTGGCATTTGCCCTCTTCCAGTCATCAGGGGTAGCCCCTGATCTCCACAACTTTCCAAAGATTATAGACAGTGGCCTTGTAACAATGCCAGCCACTTCTCTTTGCATCCTAGGGTGTTTTGTTTTATAGAAATCTTTTTTCTAATGGGAAGTATATCAACAGTTGTCATGAGGAAAGTAGAATCTCCATCACTACCATTCTTTTAAAAATCAGTTATTCAGCCACTTGTCTTGTCCTTTCAACCTGAATTATGAGTGTCAGAAAACTATAGTTAATCCTGCTCTGTGGCAAAGGCGAATGGATAGATTAGCTCTTGAAGTCTTTTCCAGCCCCATGTGTGAATTCTGTGATTCTGTGTGTGAAATCTGCATTTATGCTTGTGGTAGTGAGTGCATCTGCTTTGCATACTGACCTAGCAAGGTAATCCAGCAGTGGCACAACTATGCTTAGAACAGCTTCTGTTGTTCTAAGAGGTATTTCCGAAGAAGAGGGAGCAATAAAAGGGAGCTTCACCTATGAGAAAGCATCAGATTGAATCTTTTGGAGGAATCTTTTGCACTTATGAATTAAAACAGATGTCCAAATATCCAATGATATACCAAATTTTAGCCCAAGTTTTTTGACTTATTTTAATGCTTGGTGTTAGCTTGTATATCTAATATACATTCTAAAGATGTTTCTCTTTTTTAGTTTTGTATGTAGGGGACTGTGGTAAACATAGAGGAAGTTGTTACATTTGCAAAAACATTGCCTACTAGAGGAAAAAAATAGTTGAAAATTTACCACTTGTTCCCTTTTGTATTTCAGGTATTGGTGGTAATCTAGTAGCTATTCAAGCTAGCAGAATTTCTACCTACCTCCATTTGCATAGCATTCCTGGAGAGCTGCCAGAAGAAGCCAAGGGTTGCTATTATCCATGCAGAACTTATTATGGTACAGGTACGTATTAGTCAGTTAATTGTTAAAACTAATGTCTCATGTCTCCTCTTTTTCTCCCTGTATGCCAGACTGTACCACCAGTGAAAAATGGCAACAAACTGAATTTGTTGTATGCAATTTAAAGGGAGCAGAGGCTTGGCAGTTTCCTTTGCCTGCAGCTGTTTGCCGGTGAGAATCACAAAGAGCTCCCTGCAGGAGGTGGTGCGTAGAGAGAAACACAGAGAAAGGTCTAATCCTGGCAAGGGTGGAAGACAGGGACTGTTGAAGCGGGATGCTATGGTACCCACTCAGAAGGATTTCAACCTTCATCTTTCCTTAGCTTGTTTACCTGCTCCTAGCCTTTGTCATTTAACTCCAGAAGTTCAAACCAATTTCCTGTTAGGATGAAACTTTATATCTAACATTATTATTAAGCCAAGTCCCTGCTTTCCATTTCCCATTTGCCTTTTTCTTTCTAGATTCTTGCTTCACAGCTTATTCCTCCCCCGTATTGCCCCCTTTCCTAATAATGTGGTTAACTGTGGTGAAATGTGATGTGTAGACAGCATGTATTACACTTTCATATTTATGAAATGAATTGGAACAGATAAGAAAGTGGTAGATGTGGGACTACTTGTTAGAAGGATAAGGTACTTCTACGGATGTCTTGAATACAGTGTCCAAAACCTCTTCTTTCCTAGGAAGGCTTTAGGAGGTCATTGCAACTCCAAAAAAGTAGATGGTATTACATGAGTACAGAATGAAAGCAGACAGTTTGCACCCTCTTCTGGAAAGGCCCTGCTTAACTTTTCTGGCAGACACTATAGGTGGCTTTTTTCTCCCTATGAAAATCCTCAAGGAGTCTTTTAGCAGAAAATAATGCCTGCTGTTCCACAATAGTCAATGCTGTGGAATTCCAAAACTGCTTTTTATATTAAAATTAATAAAAATCAGATATAGTAATTGAAGAGCTTAACAAAATTTTTTATTTTTTTATTGTAGGAGTAAATAACAAATCAGCCCAAGTTCTGCTTCTTTTGGTGATTCCTGGACACCTGATTTTCTTGTACACTATCCATTTAATGAAAAGCGGACACACTTCCTTAACTCCTATCTTTATAGCAGTATATTTGTTTGCAGCTCTGCTACAGGTAAGAACAAGTACAACTTGAAAATGCTGGTATAAAATCAAGTTCTTGAAGAAAATCATTTTTTATCTGATTTCTGAAATCTCATGAATAGTACAAGAAGGTATGGGTTAATACAGGCTTCCAGCACTGTTTTGAAGTAACTGATTATCTCTACAGCTTACACAGGTGTATCTGTATTGTGAGTGCTTTTCAGAAGACACTTGACTGCATTATTTCCCAGTCATGCATCTTGTGCTTTCTCTTTCACATGCTTCTTGGAACCATTGCATCTAAAACCCCCATAATTTTAATCAACTAGAGGGGAGATGGAGAAAATGAAAAGTAGCATTTATGAATAATGAATACATCAAGGAAACTCTCAAAGAAATCTCCGGAAGTGGTTCACATTACTGTTTTAGTTAACATAGTTAAATATGCAATAGATGAGAATGTTATGGCTTGCTTGGTGCATTCTTAATATTTATGAAAGTTGAAATTACTCTGACAGCGATTGCTGTACAAGAAATTGTAATTGCATTAATTGTCAAACATTGATACATTATTTTGGCTGGTCTTACCTAGTGGCCTGTTCACACCCAGCAAGGGCAGTTCTTGAGAGATGCCTTTTGAAACAGCAATGTCTAAAGTGAAATAATTTCACTTAGAGAAATCAGTAATACAAAATGAAATGTTTCTATTAAATCCACAGCCAATTTTTAGCTAAAACCTGGCTGAATTAATTATAATGTTTCATTGTACCTTAAAAACAAAAATTAACTGTTCATGTTACACAATAAAAATACAGGTGAAATATCCGTAAGTTAAATATACATACTGCTCCTAAAATTGTGACCAATTTAGTTTTAAAATACAAACAAAATTATAAACAGTCAATCCTTAATAAAAATTATAATTTTTAATGTCCTTAATTGTCTTTCTGTGTTTATCACACTACTATTTCAATAAAGATAGGTTTCGAAAACTGTTACTATTTTCATTTCATATGAGAATTCTATACTTTTTTGGTAGGATATAACTGGTAACATTTCAACCTTTGCAAGTGAGAATATCATACTAAAAGTTATAAATCGCTTTTCATTTTTCTCTTACATAATATTCCTAGTTTCCAGCCTTATCATTTGTTTTATAATGTGTTTTCCTGAGGAAACAATGCTATACCTTCACTCTGTCTGTTCTGTCTGACTGGCTGTCCTTTCTAATAACTTTTGAATCCTTTGGCCCATTTCAGTCAAGTTTTTCCAAGTCCCAGCTCTCTCAGTGATACTATGTTTCATAAGCTTAATAAAAACAGGTTGGGGAGAGAGTCCCTGTTAATGCCTCTGCTGAAGGTAAGACAGCAGTGTGATTGCAGCCATTATTAGACTTCAGAGATTTCACATGGGAATCAACCTGAATTCATAAATCCATATGAAATCCATCTCCTGCTCACAGAACTGCAATCATAATATGTTTAGGGATACAAAACTTTTCTTCAGCAGCAAAGGATTCGGTAAGATGTGAGCAATGCAGAAGTTCAGCTGAAATCCAAGTTAAGGCATTAGGGCAGGACTTTCAGATTACACCGTAATTCAGACACAGCATCAGCACATAAACATGTGTAAAGTTCATTTTTATAGATTCAAGGTCTGATTAGAGTATTCAGTTTTGCAGTCATGCATCTCCATTGCAGTCTGTAAGGCCACACCTGATTTTCTTGATTTTTCACCCGTAGAGCAGACATATAGCTTTTTTTCTTTTCTCCCCACTGCCTTTTATAGATGATTTTTTCCTCTTTATCTTCTGTCTTTAACCATAACAGGCAGTTTGAGATGTATTTACTTTGAAACTGAGTAACAGTATTGCACACTGTAACTTTTCATGGGTCTTGACAGATTTACAATTTGGAACTGCATGGTTTTTAACACCTTCTGAAAATATTTAATAGTCTTTTCCCCATTTTAATTATTCCGGCTTTTTTCAGGTAGTGATTATTGTAGTTTTGCGTACCTCTAATTAGAGGAGATTTAAAATTTTCAGAGACATTATTCTTGCTCTAACCCTTAAATCTTGAACATATTTTATTTACCTGTTGGTCTGAAGCACTTGCCTACTGCAGTTGTGTGATTATAAGTTTCTCCTTTCTCAAGGAAAACACTTAAATATTTGCGCTCATTCCTCTTCCCTTTTTTCAGTGACATCATCTATGCACCTGGATATAGTAAATAACAGTTTTCAACCTGCCATTTCTTTTGGCATAAGCCAACATCTGCTATCTCATTTTTCCAGAATTCTTTTATATTTTTGTCCTCCCAATGAAAGCTTTACCAGTTCTGCTGTAAAGCTAAAAAATCCTCACAGCTAATTGTTATCATTTCAATTATCAACAAAACAAATCCATTTACGGTCTTTTGAGCAGTGAGATCTGCATTCTAGGCCTTTTTTATAATACACTGGACTTTGCATTTATTTTCACTTTGCGTAGAAGGCATATGAAAATGGATGTCAAAACTTACAAGCCTGCTTGCAGGTTGTATCTTTTATGTTTGAGGTGGTAGATGATAATTTAATGGAACATAGTGATTCCCAAAGGTGAGAGTTAATTATGGTCAGTCCTGGGTTTGAGGAGGTTTGATATTACTACTTTGCCCTTTCCAATTCCTTACTTATATTGAGCTGGGGGGCAGAAGGGGTATCTGAATAATGATTATGGCAATGTACCACCTATTTACACTTTTTCCACTATGTTAAAAAATTAATGCTAAATTAAAAACAACAACAACAGCAACAAAGTGAATTTTCTATCTTTAAAATTCAAGTGACTATTGTAAGATGTTAAATTATTTAATGACATGTTTTACAGTGGTCTGAAATAGATTGTTAATTAACTTCAAGATCTGTTTATTATCTCTGATTGCCCAGCTCTGTGTTTGTTTAAAATAGAGAGGAAGGGGTTAGGGAAATGACAAAAGTAGAACTAAAATGTTACAGTAAGCTGAAAAAAAATCAAGGAAATGTTAATACAAAAAGCCTTGAATTATGACTTTTATATTTCTCTCTTCCTCTGTCAGTTTATGCTATTCCACATTATCTCTACAGTAAATTCGTAACGTATATGTGAATTCTATTTGGCATTTTAACAAGACTTTTTCAGATTGCCTGTAAACTTCAATATTCTTCTTCCCAAAGTGGTAAAATGGAAATTATTTGCATTGCAAGCTCTATATGGTATTACTGAACTTCCAATCAGATAGTTATTTTCATTTTCATCCAATTCTGATACTTTCATTGTTTGATTTTTTGTTTTTTTCACCACCCATGCCTACCAGCTTCTTTCCTCTCTTCTCCCTCCCTACCTGTTGTTAGATATTCTCTCCCCAGCATGTCATTTAATTGAAATATTTATGGGAAATAAGTAATTAATATGATATAATGTACATTAGCAATAGTATGATTTAGTTATTATTGACCAAAAATATGCTATGTAGTAAAACAAAGTACAGTTTCACTGAATATGTAGTTGTTTCTAAAAATCATTAATTAAGGTATTTTAAATAATATGAGTAGCCAGTATTGTGATCTGCATTCTCTCTGATTCTCTATGAACAAAACAGTTCTGCATTTCTAGGCTTAAGAAAATCCAGAAAGTGTTTTATTTTCTTTTACTTTAATATTCCTACCTTTAATAGTACAGTTGTTTCTGTTCTTTAAATAAGTACATATTCTCGAAATGTTCTTCAATTAAATTTTAAATTGGTTCTATTGAAATCCAAGGCTATACTCCCTTTAACTTTAATGGGGCTAGGATTTCACAATTATATTTTCATAAAGAAAGGGAAAACTGCACAAATATTTATATTAATCTTTATTCAACTAGAACTTTTAGGCTTGAGTTCAAAAGGTCTGAATTAGCTCTGTAGTGAAGAATCTGTTCTGTGTTTATGAATGGCAGCACCAGGGAAAAAAAAAAAAGAAATTATGAGGAAGCTATAGCCTGTAAGTATGTAGGGTACTTCACATAATGCATTGTACAGTATCTGGGCAAGCCAATGTGCATTAATGAAAACCAGTATATTGATTTTAAATGTGTTTTGGATTTGGTGACTGGCTTCTATGTAGGAAGAATACTCTTGAAAATGTTACAAAAACAAGTCACACACAAGGACATACCAGTATGCTACGTGCAGTTACAATCTGGCGTAGTCACACACAAGCACATACCAGTATGCTACATGCAGTGACAATCTGGCGTTTGACCAACAAAGAATATGTTAATTGAAAAACAGTCCTCCTCTTATAGCTCACAAAGGCCCACGTATTTTTTAACTGTATGAGGCTATGCACTGAGCAAAGGTTCGTCCTCTGTCTTGTCAACCTGCAGCAGAACGAGAGCAGCGCTGGAATTGCCGAGCCATCAGTCCTAGCACACGGCTCAGCGTTCAAAGGCGGTCTCTGTTCTGCATGTTCTCACCGAGCCAGCAAAACGCCCTCTTAGGAATTTTCACACCTCCTAACCCAATCTGAGCACACAGTTACGTTAAAGACTCGGGGAATAAACAAACAATAGGAGATTCCCAGAGCTATTACCAAGCAAATAAGTAATTCCAGAATACAGTCCTTCTTACCCAGTGAAGGTCAGATGTCTACTGCTGTGAAGTAACTTTTGCAGTACTTCAGGGCTGTTTGGGGCATAGAAAATGAAGAATTCAGCAGTGCTCGTAATGACTTCCTGCTCACATCAAAAACATCTTGGATTTCTCACTGGTGTGAGGATTCTAATGATGGTATGGGTCTCTTCAATGTGGAAAAATAACTCATGGGGTATAATGTACATTATAGAGAAATAAGGAAAGTTGTGTTTATAGAGAAAATATTGATGCATTTTAAATACTGCTTTTTCTAAGAGGAAAAGTTACTTCCAAAATGTAGAGCATATAACTGCTAAAGAGACTACATGATTCAAGGAAATATGGAAACTAAGGTCCAAACCTGGACAGTTCTGCACGTTCAGTGCTTTCTCATTG